TATTTTTGAATGCATTATATTATTTTTATTAGACGGACAAGAAACGCCCAATCGCCACACGAAAAATATGTTTTTCCGGTTCTAACATCAATGTCATACGGATGGAAATATAAATCAGATTATGGCTCTGATTGTTGTAAAAACGATTGAATAATTTTTTACATAAAGCAGCAGTTACGTTATAAAAAGCAGCTATACATATTTCTTACTACATTTTTTAACGATTACATTTTTAAAATTTAGTTTGTAGGATTTTTTGAACAAAATTTGAAAATATTTCTTACTACATTTTTTTACGATTACATTTTTAAAATTTAGTTTGTAGGATTTTTTGAAATTTAATTTTTACAGCACTACTAAGTAGGTCAGATTTATTTTTTTATGGATTGAAATTTAGTGGTCAGTAACGAATCCTAATTTTTTCAACTTTTGTACTGTTTCATTATCTAATTTATTAACTCTTAATAAACATTGCAATTAAACTAATTTACCTAATTTAAACTAAGATGGTTATGTTATAGCAAAAAACATAAAAAGTACGGTCTAACGATTATTATATGAGAATAAAATTTTATTAGATTAATTTTATTGGATTAAAAAAATATGCAACCATTATACCAAAAAAATGATAAGTTTATGCTAATGTTAATAGGGTTGGGAACATTAGTGAGGCTTGCTCAAAAGTATGAGTAATTAACATTTTATAAATGAAGCAGCAGCATTCTAAAATGTTGACACTTTTTCAATTAAACTGTATGAAAAATTTATTGAAACGCCGAAGAGAATTGCATAATTTAATTACGAGGTGTAAAAGTAGGAGCGGATGAACTGTGAGAAGAAATGGTTGGCAAAGTCTTTTGGCTGATTAAAGATATTTTTGTTTTTGATTTTTTCCCTTTTTTAGGTACTTTTTTTCTTTTTTTTATTTTAGCTTTAGTGCCTATTTGTAAAACTTTTTCTTTTAAATCTTTTGCCTTTTTTTTGTAATCTTCAACGTTGATGGGTAGCCTCTCACTCATAAACTGAAATTTTTTTTTCTTTTTATGAATTTTTTTTTCTCCTTGCTTTGACGAATCTTTCTTCCAGAAGGGTTTAATTGAACGTCCAAGAACATCTTCATTTGTGCACCAGTCGTACCAAGACCGGTCGTCAGAAAATAACAGTGATGCTATGACTAATGTGATTACAAATGCCACAATGACAACACCCCACATAACCTGAATAAATAGATTTTTTGTTATATAAGTTGTTTAAAACACTATTTTGAGTTACCTTGTAAGACAAATTTTCTTGTCTATGTATTAACTGGAGCCAATGGCTTATAGGTAATTCCGTAGTTTGAGAAACATCTTCCATTTTCTTTGTAGTGGTTGTACTTTCAAGTATATAAAGATGTTCTGCTTCCAAACTTGATCTTTTTTGAAACTTCATATGCCCTGCAAAATTATGAATATTAATTACTTTATTGATAGAATATATTACTTATTTTTTTACTACTCGCGATGTTGTCAGAATCAAGTTTTGATGAATTCAACGTTTCAACATTTCTTATACTGAAAATATTTGTTAACAAATATCTGAGTTAATCAGTTAAAATGTAAAAACAAAAAGTGATTTGAACCATTGTTCTTAATTGAATGAACTTTATAATTAAAATTATTATGTGTTGAATTTTAAATTTGAAATAATTTCAATTCTCAACACATAAATTTAAACTTGTATTAGAAACATTACTAACGCAAACTTACATTTTATTTATTAAATTTAATGTGATCATTTGAATCTTGAGATACAAATTCGACTGAATTTCTAACAACAATTTTTGAAAATTAGAACAATGTCGCTGCAAAATATTAAGATCATAACAGAAAAATATAAATCGACAATAAATTTATGTATATTGTAGATTTTACATACAGTTATTTTTGGAAAAACGAAGATGAATTTTAGATAAGCAAACGAGCATTTTTTTGTCAGTTATCTTCAGATGCTTACGTTTTTTTAACTTCATGTTTGCTAAAACTAAAACTCAGTTCAATACGAGAAGAGGATATGAAAGTAAAAATAAAAGATTTGTCCGTACTCGATTGCGAAAATTGTCGCGAAAATTGTCTTCCAGGCAAAGCCCAAAATATTAACGATTCCGATAGTTTTGAATCCATTATATATAATCCCGGTCACTTTGTCAAGACTAGATTGGTTCCGATTACGCCTAATCCTGGTTATACATAATCCCGCTACATTAGTCCCGAGTATTAAAATTATTGGATTATTTTACTTCATTTTAGTATAAAAAGGGTTTGTATTTAAATAACTAAATACTTTTTTTTAAAGAATAATAAAAAATACATCTGAAATAACGCATCATACCATTTCGCAAGTGATAGACGGCGATCTTTTGACATTCGAACCCGGTTAAGGCAATAGTTGGGCCTAGTGCAGTGGGGGTTTAATTGCAAAGACGCCTGATTGTGCTATTATAGTGACTGGATTCGAAAGGTCTCATAACAGTTGAAACGTCAATTCAGACATCTTGTAAAATAATTAAAAGGTCATGAAAAATGTGAATAAAGAACAACTTGCCAAAGCCATCTTAGATTCTCCAGTCTCCGAGCCATACCAAAGTGATGATGTTAAAATGAATTAAAAAAGTTTAACGATGAGTTGAAAAGAATTGTCAACAAATTTGCCCTTTTGTGTGTGATTTATAACAAAGATGAAAGTATGGAACCTTGGTTTAAAGATGATCGCCGAAAGGCTAAAGGCTAATTCTTTTCCCCCATCTAATCTCAATAGTGTTCTTCATAATCTATCTCTATGTCTTTCTTCAATTATCGCTTGGTCTGATTATATATGTCTTAAACTTCTCAATCCTTCTAAATTTGTTTTAATAAATCTAAACGCTATATTACTATTTCTTCTATTATCTTACCTGATTCTAAAACTCTTGATGTTGTGAAATCACAAGTTTCATAAAAAAGGCTTTATCTTTGATTTTGGCATGTCTCTTTCTTCTCAGATTAATTGTGTTGCTGAAGTTCTTACTTTCATCTAAAAGAAAAAACTTTTGTCTTTTCTTGACGATCCTACTTTTTCTTCTTGTTGCTTTTTTAGTTTTATCTAGGATTGACTATTGTAACTCGCTCTACTATGGTTTTCCTGATTCTACTCTTTATCCTTTAAGTAAAGCTTTCAACCGTGCTGCTCATCTAGTTGCTCGTGTCCTTTTCTTTTCGCATATATCTCCATATTTTGTTATCTTGCTCTAGTTACCTATAAAATATAGAATAATTTGTAAAATTTGCACATTTATGTATAAGTCTCATTCTAACTTATTTCCTAAGTACTTATCAGATATATCAATTGAACGTAAACGCGCCGGTTTACGATCGTCTTCTTGTTCTCACTTCTTTTAAACTCGTGTTAAACACTTTTTTGCTAAATCTGCATTTGCTTTTTTTGGCCCTTTTCTCTGGAACTCTTTACCTTCTTCTCTGACTTCTTCTCCACCACTTACGAAGTTCAGAGCAAATGTCAAAGCCCATCTGTTTGCAAAATTCATTGAGGAGCGTTGTGGAATGTTGCGAAAATAGCGCTTTATAAATTATTTAATTGATTAAGTGTTATCTACCTCAGAGTGTTAAATTCGTCAAAAAACAAGCTACATCGGTCTGATGATTTAAACTTGCTGTACCAGTTACACGTTGGCAAATTGGTTCAAGAGACATTGCAGTTGCTGGTCCGCTGTTTAGAAGACTTTTCCACCGGCGTTGAAAAGATCAGGACTTTAATTGGAATTATTTAAGAAATAATTGAAAACTGTTAAACTGTGAAAATTGTGACTTTTTTAATTTTTGTTTTTTCAAATATAGCCACGTACATTTTGTTTTTCAATGTGAGCGCTCATGAAACAGTTTTAATTAGCGATAACGAATTGCTCTTAATAGTTATAATAATATATATACATTACATATATAGTTAAGAAATATCACTGCATTTTTATGGTTAGAATCTGATCAAAGATCAAAGCTGAAAAGAAGAAGAAAAGAAGAAAGTACCCTGGTCAGTAATGTAAAAGCAATACCAAGTGAAGTTTGCATTGCACAACACAAGTTAGTCATTTGTAAAATGAACCTGTGTGGCAAGCTTGCAAAGACAAAGGAGGTATTGGTAAGTAAGTGTAGAGTTTGAAAATTAAAATAGGAGGTGCAACGTCGTATCTTTCAGAAAAAAAATTAAGAAAAAGCAGATTTGAGAAGCGATAGAAATGTGGAAAGCGTGTGGAGTTTGTTTAAAAATAGCTTGCTGGTAGTAGCTGATGAATTTTGTGGTAGAAATAAGGGCCAGCCGAGACACAGGGAATCGTGGTGGTGGAACGAGGTGGTTGGGAAGATTATAGAGGCAAAGAGAAAGTTGAATAAGATATGGAAGAAGACCAAGAAAGAAGAGGACAGGATGTTGTATGGATCAGCTAAGAGAGAGGCAAAAAGAGCAGATTACATGGCTCAGTCAGAGGAGCAAAAGGTATTTTGTAAAATGCTAGATGATTTAGAAAAAAAAACAGGAACAGTGAACAGAGTAATAAAACAAATCATTAGAAAAAATAGAGATGTTGTTAGGATAGGCTGTGTAAAGGGGTCGGATGGTAAGCTACTCACAGCTAAAGATAACGTAAAAGAGAGGTAGAAAAATTATCTTGAAAAGCTGTTAAATGAAAAGTTTGTGTGGGATAAGAATGGTTTGCCTATGGTGAATATGATGAGTGGTCTTGCAGAGATTATAACCAACAGTGATGTTAAGTCTGCTATTTATAAGGCCAAGTCAGGAAAGGCTGCTGGTCCATCAGGTCTGGTATTGGAGATGCTAAGAGCTTCAAAGAATGTAGGTGTCCAGTAGGCAACAGATTTTTGTAACGCAATAGTGCGGGAAGGTTAAGTTTCTAATGATTGGAAGAAAAGCTGAATGGTGACTGTCTATTAAGGGAAAGAGAATGCTCTAGAATAGATCATGTAATAAAAGTTCTAGAAAGAGTGATTGAGAAAAAAGTTAGGAGTAAAGTGTTTATAAATGACACGCTGTTTGGTTTCAGACCGGGGAAAGGTACTACAGACCCAATTTTCATAGTTCGGCAAATGTTTTGGAGGCTCTTTTGAAAGATTTCCGCGTGGGCTTGCCATAGGAGCTGCTCTATGCGGATGATTTGTGTCTGATTGCAGATTCTGAGAAAGAGTTGGTGGAGAAGATTAAGTGTTGGAAAGATGCAATGAAAACAAAAAGGCTAAGGGTTAACATGAATAAAACAAAAGTTATGTGTTGTAAAGTAAGGAATGGACGAGTAGAGAATTCTGGAAAGTGGCTGTGTGCGGTTTGAAAGGCGGGTGTTGGAGCTAACTCAATAATCTGTAGTGCTTGTGAGAAATGGGTGCGTAAGAGATGCAGTGGACTAAATGGCAGTCTAAAAGTGGCTGCTTTCAGGTGTAAAAGATGTGTTGATATATATATATACATATATATATATATATATATGTATATATATATATATATATATATATATATATATATGCAATATATTTTTATCAATATATATATAAATATATCAATTTACATCAATCAATTGATAAAAATTACAGCATGTTCTGCTTAGTTAGCTTCCTGTTTGATTTTTCGATTTTTCTAACGGTAGATCGTAAATCACTGTCAAGCTTCTTGAGTTCAAAACTAAAGTTTTCATTTATTTAAGCATGATAGTACAAAAAAGCTTTTTTCGAGATTTTTTTAACATCTGGCTGAATGTTCATGTATATAAATCCTGTGTCTCTACAATGTTAATTTTTTGTTTGTTTAATGTGAATACTTAACTTTCATTTATTTAGTTATTACGATCTTCAACTTTGTGCAATATGATGTTTTTATGTGTCGTCATTATCGATGATTGCTCTGTTTCTAAATTTATTAGTGGGAAGGATTCCAATTGCACGTTGTTGAATATTAATTATCGGATATCGTAACAACGCCTCTAATTCATTTTTTTGAATTGGTAGTGGTGAATAACAGGAATTGTATATTTTATGTTAATCGTGTCTTCTACAGGAATATTTGTGAAATTGATTCCATTGCTAATGCTATTTTGTTGTACTGGATGGGTTTGCTGTAGA